AAAAAACATTATGAATAGTTACAATATTTTTCTATATAATTTTTTTTCTTTCTTTTTATGATTTTCTTTCCAAAATGGTCCTTTTCAGTTTCTTTTTTCATATTAAGCTGCTTAATAATTTAGTTTTGTAGTTTCTTTTATAAAAAACATCATAGATTACTATAGTATTTCCCATACATGGTTTTTATTTTGCTCCAATATTTCTTCAAACTCTCTTTGTTGAATTTTTTATTTTATAATATTGAGTTGATTGAGAATTTAGCTTTAACTTTCTCCACATGTTTTTTTTCTTATTTTTTATTTTCTTTTTTCTTTTTTTCCAAAATTATCTTTTTTTTTGTTATTTTTTTTTAATACTGAGCTAGTTAAAATTTTAGTTTTATAGTTTTTTTATTTAAAACACTGTTGATTGCTACAATGTTTTTCTATTTTTTTGGTCTTTTTGGTGAATTTTCTTTGTTAATTTTAGTTTTTTTCATATTGAGCTGATTGATAATTTAGCTTTATAGTTTTTTTATTTAAAACACTGTTGATTGCTACAATGTTTTTCTATTTTTTTGGTCTTTTTGGTGAATTTTCTTTGTTAATTTTAGTTTTTTTCATATTGAGCTGATTGATAATTTAGCTTTATAGTTTTTTTAAAAAAACATTATGGATTGCCACAATATTTTCCCACGATTTTTTCTTGTTACATTGTTTCCCTACATGTTTTTTTATTAATTTTTTAAAATTATCTTTATCAAATTTGTTTTTTTCATATTGAGCTGGTTGAAAATTTAGCTTTATAGATTTTTTCTTTAAAACACCGTTGATTGCTAGTGTTTCCCCACATGATTTTTTTTGCTATAATTTTTTTCAAAATTATCTTTATTAATTTTATTATTTTTAATATTAAGCTGGTTAAAAATTACTAGTGTAAATTTTCTCATGAAACACTATAGATTGCTATAGTGTTTTCTTGCATAGTTTTTTTCCTTTCATTTTTATATGATTTTTTTTAAAATTATCTTTATTAATTTTATTTTTTTAATATTAATTTTATTAAAAATTATAATTTTATATTTTCTCACAAAATATTATAGATTGTTGCAGTGTTTATTTATATGATTGTTTTCTCTTATTTTTTTTTGTTTTTTTAAATTATCTTTGTATATTTTATTTTTTTAATATTAATCTGGTTAAGAATTTAGTTTTATAATTTAATTTTTTAAAAACATATTATGAATTACAATAATATTTTTCTATATAATTTTAAAAATTTCTTTTATAAATACATGACAACGCATAAACAGGCCACGAGGGCATGGCAGCTAGTTTTTAGTTAAAGTCCGTACTACCTGTACTAAACCATAACAGAGCATAAAGCTGAGTTAGTAGTGATATTTTCGGATTTGGTTCCTTTTAAGTTAGAGTAAAATGATCTATGTGTAACTATAAATTTTGAAATCAATGATTTTGATTTCATAACTACTAATTTAAGACTATTATAACCGCTACTGTCTTGGTGGAAGTGAATCTAATTGATGAAATTCACTAGCATGATAGATCATGCTTCTTCTATTTTTATTTTGCGAGGAACTAACCCAATCCGATATTCTTATATTTATTTTTTTATTTCAAATTTACATATCATTTGGGATTTATTTCGGCATTTGTATTATATGGCACTATGTATTCTTGCACTTATATCATTACAAGAGACGTAAAAGATTTGTTGAATTCATTGCAGCTTCCTCACATAACAATGTTCTCTTCTTTTTCTTTTTTTTGTGGCCCTCTGATTATTTTTTTAGTTTTTAGCTTTTTATTTCTGAATTTGATCCTTTAAGATTATATATATATATATATATATATATATATATGATCTTTGTAATTTATTCTTACACGAAAAAATCTTCACAAAATATCCTGTTATTGGGTTGCTTCTTGATTTTACAAAAAAATATTTTGTTTTATTAATTGAGATTGAAAGTTAAGGGGCTAAGATTAAATGGGTAGAAAAAATGAAGCCCTCTTGTGAAAACACTTTTGGTCCCTTCGCTCTTTTGATAAATTTTGCCTAAAAGTTTTGTCAAGGTTCCTTTTTGGTCCTTTAAGTTTGGAAATGAAATATTTTAGTTTAAGACTTTATTTTCTTTTTATTTTGGTCCTTGATCTGAGAAATAAGAAAGAAAGTTACTAGGAAATAATGGAGAAAAAAAATTATCAGTTAACTATTATCCTATCCATAAAAAAAGTTGTTTTTATTGTCAATAAGTTCTTTTTTACTGGAGGAGCTCTGTTGAGGTGTTCATTGGTCCCCATCTTATGTAAAAAAATAGATTAGCTCTCGGAAAGTTTTTTAAATTTACTTGATTTTGCATTTAGAGATAGATTTTTTCCAAATTTAGTAACACAAATGAGTTTTTTAAGGCTTTTTGGAGTGTTTTTAGTTTATTTTAATAAAAAAAAATGGCTAGAAAATGGTTTTTTAGGATCTAAAAGGTATAACTTGAATCTCTAGCTATCATAAGTGGTGGTTAGAATTTTGGTTCTTTGAATTAAATGTTATATGACCTTTTACAATACGTTATTCATTATTTACCTTTCACCAAAAAAAAAAAAAAAACTCAGCACGCTAGTCGGGTGCCTAGGTTTTAAAGCCTAAACGTGTCTGGGCTTTGGTTTCTTGCGTACAAGCCAGGCAAAACATGTCTAGCAACACTTGGCTTCTGTTCTTTTTTCTTCTTTTTTTAAAATTTTTATTCAAACCCTCCTTTTTAAATGGATTTTTGGTTTGTTTTAAATTGTTTTATTTAAATTTTGATTAAGACCCTTCATTTTATTTTAATCGTTTAGTTAAATAAAAAAAAGGTTATTAAAGATAAAAATTGTGGTGTGAGAAATAAGTTTTAAAGCATTCTTTTTTATAAAAAAAAGATAAACAAGTACATTGAGAAAAGAAAAAACACTTGAAATGCATCATCAAGAAAGCTAAATGATAATACACTTGAAGTTGTTTCGTTACATGTATATTTATTGTTGATAGCGAAAGAAAAAAAAAAAAGGAAATCATGTTTGGCAGGAATGATGTTTTAATGAAACAATATCTTTCTTATCTAGCACTTGCATATTCTAATGTTATTTTATGTAATGAAATGAAAATTATAGGGATGGAGTCTCTCCCTTTTGCTGGATAAAGGGTGACTTGGGAACTAAGAAATATGAGAGAGGTAAAGGCAAAGCATCTACGCACGGAATAGAACGTGTGCTTGTATGCATGGTTTGAAAGAGATAATCATGTTTTTAGGTTCAGGGCATCAAATTATTGTAGACTGTTACTGAAAGTTTGGTCACTCATGAGACTGGTTTTTGTAGATGCATATTTTTAATCTAAATAACTAAGGTATTTGATTTTAAGGCAAATACTTTGTTTTTCTTGCCTTCCTATCCTAGTGAGCTTGTTCATTTCTTGGTTCCCAGAAAGTGAAAGCACGTTATTTGATTGCAACATGTCAATTCCGATGCCTTGTTCTTGCTTTAGGTGCTGTTTTGGGCAGGAGATGAGCTTTGTTATGAATAACAAGCAAGCATTGGCATGATGAGGTTTAGTGGCATGAAAGATGACTACATATCCTCTTCCAATCCTTAAGCAGTCCTGTTCTGCGTAGTAACTCGTTTGCAAGTATACAAAAACCTGCAAGAAAGTCCTGAAGTAATGGAGTTGAATTGAACAGAATTCTTCTTGGCCAAATTCTAATGTTTATTGACATTTTGCTGATGGGTTGGAATTCTATGCTCAAGGAAATTGAAAAATGGCAGATTGCGATTAGTATATTGAAAAACTTATTTCCACATATAGACTCTTTGCCTCTCTTTGCCCCTCATCTCTATATATTTGCAGCTTCTTCCTTTTCTTTTCATCTTTCTCTGAATTAGAAATCGAAAGTGACAAAAATGAGCAGCTGCTGCAAAGGAGGAGTCACAGCATCAGGAGGTCTGCTGCTCTCTATCAAGAACTGTAATTTTTTATTTTTTTTACTTCTGTGGCCCTGATGAATAATATACTGTGGAAGCAAAGTGGATGCTCGTAAATCATCGACTTTCTTTGTAAGACTAAAAAAAGTGAATTCTCCAATCCAAATATTTTCTTCGCGATCTTTTTTTTCGTATCAATAATATCTTCTCATATTTTTACGAGTTCAATTGTCAAATGATATTCTTTCAGCATTCTATGTTGTCACCTATATTCATTTGGCTTCAGCGCAAAAGAGAGTGCAAATTATTAGTTTTTTTTTCTTCAATGTTACTTCTGATTCTGGTAAAATTTTCCATCAAGTTTCCAATCTGAAACATGATTAAACACATAAAAGCGTGATAAAACACAAGGCTAGTATTGGATTCTCAATGTTCAATCCAGACTTTTAGAGCTGTAAGCCTGGGATTCTGGAGAATATACTTGTTTTGATTTGCATAGGTTTGGTCTGTATCAATTTCTCAAAAAAGAAAGCGAACACCACGTGTGTTCGTGATGTGGCTCATGGTTCTTGACCATCATGAACATTTTTCATTTCCTAACAGTTTGATCAGCAAATGGAACATTCTTGTGGCCCTTTTGGGCTTTATTAGGAACCTCAGGGCCTGAATTTCTTTCTTTTCTTTTGCCGAAGCCCAAACTGATCGATTCCATCTAATGTAGAGCGGTGCTTAGCCAAGGAAATCCCAGATCATCTTCAGTATATTTTGGTGTCAAGAATAAAAGCATTCTTTACACTACGATGTAACTTCTATATGGTGAGTAATTTGGCAACCATAACAAGCAAGGCGCGACTGTGTATAGCTGCTCTCTTTTGATCATAAATTGGTTTAAGTCCAGAATCATTAGCCAGTCTTGTGAATTTCCCGAAGATCCTTGCTCATTTGCACCTGAACCTCTTATGAATTTCTCTAGGATCCTTGCTCATTTACACTCAAACCTTTCCATCAAGACTTTTAACTCCCAAGATTTTAACAAATCCCCCCATTAAAACACGGAATACCAGTCCCATCTACTTGGTTAGAACTTTTTGGCTCCGCATTTGCTAGTCCCACACTGTAAGTTTCAAGTGATATCGATAAACAAGGCATTAAAGTACAAAGATGACGACAAGAGCATGATGCTGCTCTCCAGACACACTAAAGTACAAAGATGACGACAATAATAGGAAAAAAAAAATGACCATGATTGTGCTGTAATTCTTTCCTAACTACTTAAACAAGAGCATGATGCTGCTCTCCAGACACAGGAAAAGAAGATAGCCAACCAACCCATCAAGTAGTACATCAACAAGGAAAAGCATAAGATCACACAATAGGTCGAACATTAAATAGAGACCAAGGTTAACAAAAATTATAAAGTTTTTTATATTGTGATTACCTGGTCTATGGAGTATTGCAAACATATCAAAAAGGAAATTAAGCAAGTTAAAAGCTAAGCTTCTCATTAAAAACAAATTTCCAAGCAGACTGCCTTCATATTCTAATTGTTGATGATCCATACAGCCTGCAACTGCAGAGGGAAAATATAATCAGCCTCGATCAATTTCATTCCAAAAACAATTCAGAAACAGTTTAAACAAAAGCTTAATAGGACCACATGACCATTTTCAATAACCAGAAGGTAAAACAAACATGGAAAATCAAGGGAATGTTAAGTTTTTACACATCTAGGCATGACGCATGTCACAAATTCTGCAGAGACAAAAGGACCAAAACATCTTGCATCATCTTTGGTGTACTATAATAAATTAATCATAACTAGTATGGTTCTAATTATGTTGTCTGGGTGCCATTTTTACACATAATAGAACATGATGGAGATGGCAAACCTAACACTAGAAAAGTAGATGGACTGGTAACTACATTGGTAAAATGCTAAAATAATCCAAACCATTATCAAATCATGAGAATAATTAAAGGAAATGCACTAGTACATCCAAATCATAGCAAATCCAATTTGTGTGCGCAAACAATGCATACATAACTTATAGTAATTTTCAAACCAATATTGTCAAATGACTTTCATACAGAAACCGATGTGTATAACACAAACAGGTATAAAACTAAATTCAATTCTTAATTATCAAACAAGCCACAACTTATCAATCCAACCACTTCCTAATCACCACCATTAAATGATTAATCCGTGTATCAACTTCATATTTACCCCAATAGCATTCCTAATTGAGAAAATAAAAACAATCGATCCTCCATGTATCACACATTAACAAATCTCTTAACCAAATAATCAATTATCATCAATAAAAAACAAAAACTTGATACTGAAATCAACACATTACCTAAGAAGCCCCAACAATGATATTATTAATTGGGATAAAAATCAACTTCACGAAGAATCCAACAAATCCCATAACCACGAATCCAATTGCAGTACGAGACGCCACCTTTGTGAATTCTACAAAAAAAAAATCAAGCTTTTAAAAATCCCTGATTTTTTTACTATAATATTCCAATCAAAAAATTGAAAAGAAAAAAAACCTTTTTGATCGGGTTTGTGGCAGCGTTTGACGAGTCGGACGCTGTCTTTAGCGAATTCTCTGAGAGGATCGACGACGGAATCTATGGCGTCCATTTTTGTTGAGGATTGAATGGGAGATCGAGAAACCCTAGGTCGATTGAATTAGGATTTTTTTCTTTCTTTTTTTTGACACACAGCGTTTATTACAAGAGTAGCTGACGGTTAAGACACGTTTTTATGACAAGTGTAACGGAAAAAAGGAGACTTTTCCTAGGTCAAAGTTGGAAAGTAAATTTTATTTTTATTTTTATTCATTTATTTTATTGGACTGAAGCAAACCTTGAATAATGGGACAATATCATTCTTTTTTCTAGGGTTGCTTGTGGAGTATCAGAAAGAATTTAGTTTTATCTAATTATATTTTTGACAAAAATATTGATGGGACAATATCATTCTTTTTTTCTAGGGTTGCTTGTGGAGTATAGAAAGAATTTAGTTTTATCTAATTATATAAGTTGACACTCAATTATATAATTATTTATTATTATTATTATATCATCAAATAAAAAATAATTTTAAAAAATAAAATTATTAAATTCATTAGATTTTATAATTCATGTCATGAATTTAAAAAATTAAGATGTTAAGTTCAAATTAATCTAATATATTATTATCTTAATATTAAAAAAATATTATTTATAAAATTATTATAAATATTTTTTAACTCATTAAAATTAAATCAACTAGATTATATCATGACAACTTTTTTAATTTAATTTTAAAATAGAGCTAAGAAAAAAGATAGGTTAGGAACATTCAAGATTAACTCTTAAATCAAGTTTTATTAGATGTAGAGAATTCAAGTTTGATCCCCTTTAAGCCTAAATATTTTATTTTTTTTAAGTTCATACTTTTTTATTTATTTATTAACCCATAACATAGAGCAAGAAAAAAACTACTAAAACAAAAAATTAATACTTAATACTATATATATTGAATAGAAAACCCAAATAATATCGAATAAAAAATAAAATTGAAAAACCTAATAATATTAATTAGAAAAAAAATTTCTTAAATGAAGAAGAAAAATAATTGTATTTTCTTATTAAAAAAACTTATTCATTAATCTTCTCAAATTAAAAAGAACTCATCCTCAAATACAAGTTATTCTTACATCAATCTTTTAGATGTTTAGTTAAAACTCTCCATCTGTTTTTTGTTTTTTTTTTTTTTTTTGCTTAAAGTATATAACAATTAGAAATATTAGTTTCAATACCTTCATGTTAATTTTTGTATAAAAACATTAATTATCAAATTATTTCTCTTTTATTGTCTTGATGAATTGCAAACATCAAACTTGCTTCATCAACACATGTGCAATCATCAACACATGTTATATATGTATAACTATTAAATAGATTTATATTTATAATAATAGTAAACTTGTAAACAAAAGCATATCAAGGCGTAAATCAATATTATTATTTTTTTGGAGCTCCATTCAAGTTCTTTTTTTGGCCCTTAAATTCTAGCTAGTCATGAAATTTTATCATTATTATTATTACTATCATTTTTACACCATAATTAATCATCTTCATGAAGTCGATTGATGAATTCTCCAAGTTAGTCCATCCATGATATCCTTTTCTTTTCTTTTCTTTTCTTTCTTTTCTCCATTTTTCCTTGCTTGAATTATAACCCAAGGAACACCAGGGAGAGATAAAAGCACAGATTTTTCCAATAGTATGACCCCCCGTCTATCTAGTTGCTTAAGAAAATAGCAAAAGCAACGGCTCACTAGAAATAACATTTCTTCCCCTAATACAGTGAGCTTGGAACTGCAACTCTGATGTTGAGTTGCTTAGTAAGAGTCGGAGATCCCAACCATCCACGTTAAAGGTGTTGAGTTGCTTAGTCGGAGATCCCAACCATCCACGTTAAAAGTAAACCAAGTGCTTGAGAAATCCAACTGGATAGAAAACTATGGGCGACTTTTCAAGTCCCTTTATCTCATATAAAAGCAAAATCAAATTAAAAGTAAAAATCTCAGCAAAGATCTTCCAGGAGAGACATTCAAATTCAAATGGTAGCAGATGACGCACTAGAACCATTCGAATCAGTAACAAATAGATCATAAATTAATAAACTGCACATCAGAAAAAGTTAGCATGTTATAGCAGCAATTGTAGAGCTGCCATACACTAAAGTTAAAAATTTTATGAAGTCTACAGCTACGGACAACTTTCCAAGAAACAATAGCAAGCAAGCACATTTAGATATCATATGCACTCAAATTTCCCAGTAATATTAGCCAAGGCCCCTGTTAGCCTCTGTCGCACCTCTGCATCCGAGAAGCTTAACTGCAGTGAAAAAACAAGGACAAATGGTTGGACAATCATAGGGAAAGCAATGGTAAGACATCATATGGTATTGAATGGGAAGAATAACAAAGCATAGCCATTTCTCTTTCTTTTATTGACTTGATCAATAGTCACAGCAACAGCCAGAAGAAGTTAAAAGAAGCAGATCCTGAATTTGACAGCACAAGAATCACCTGTATGATTTCACAAACTCATGCCACTGAAATAAAAGTCAGAAAAAAAAAGCATAAACAAAACAAATATATATTGTTGATGTGACAATTTTGACATGTCAATGAATAAAAGAAGGTACAGTTGTCGTTTTGATTCTCATAAGCAAAAGACACAATTAATCACATTGAGTTTAGAAATCCCATAACATTCCCTCTCTTTTTCTTAGTCTTTGGGATAATATGAGACGAGTTGAGATAGCATGAACACATCCATGAAGACAACAAAACAGACTGTCCCTTTATATGCAAAATAAATCCTTGTAACAGAATAAAGCAAATCATAAGGAGTTGAAAACTAACATATTATAAGAACTTAGGAATTTTTCATGGATTGGAAATGTCTGCAAACTGAAACTTTAAGTAGAGTTTAACATTGAAGTTGAAAGGACCTTTAACGATAAATAGAAGCATCCTAAGATTCACATTTCATTTTGCCTAAAAAGTAGATAATTTGGAGCCTTTACATCCCCATTGATTGACCAAAAATACTCAGCACTTGGTGCTTATATGAGAAGGGTTAATGAAGAGGAATCTAAAAAACATAAGTCTAGTTTGATAGGAGAGAGAAATCATCAAAGCTTCAGCACACATTGCCCACAAGGCATCCACTTTAACAATATACCGAGTTACTGACAACCATAAAGATGGCTTGGTATAGTGGCACATGAATACACAAATAACTGTCCAAAGGAAAGAAATACACATATAGAAACATAATACATTTATTGGGTGGTAGCATGGAGAAAACAGAACAGCTCAGAGATAATACGACAAAATCAAAAGGTTTTACGTGAAATACAATTTTATGACAAACACCAACAGCAAGAAAGGAAACAGTTGGAAAAAAAATATTGAGAAATTTCCTTATTGAGTTCTTCCAACAGGTATGATCTATGCTATGGTCCGAGAAGATCCAAGAATTTTATAAACTAAAGACAATCAAGATTTTCTCAGGAAAATAAGACTTGTACCCAACCATCACCCAAGAAGAAAGGGAACTAGTAACAAAAATCAGGCATTTCCACGGTATGTTGCTACTCGGTCTGCCAGGTAGCAAAAGACAGCCTGCTGTTTATTCCAATTTTAACAGAATCTAAATACAAAAAACCTGGAAGTGAAATAGCATCGTCCCACACAGCACACCTCACATATATAGAATAAAGAACAAAAATTAACCGCTTAAATTACTCATCAAGTTCAGAACACAAATAAAAATCAATAGATTGTAACATCATTCCACACATATTATGCATAGACTTTACACCAGCATTTAAAGAAAAACTCCCTCGAGTGAAATCCCATCAAGTAAAGTTGATATCAAAGACTATCAGAACAAAACTGTCTCTAGGTCTAGATAAAGCCTTTATTTGACAAAGGACAATCCTCATTCTCTAATCCTTCCTCTAAGAGAGACATTCTAATAAAAAAGATTTACATTGCACCCATGTAGAAATCAAACAATTTGAGCTCTTATAAACAACCATTTGATGACTGTATGACACGTCTCCATTTTTCTTGACCTCAAATACTTCCCATGGAAACCATCAATGTATACAGGCTACTTCAGTTGCAGGTAGTGTCCATTTGCTGTAGCCTAGAAAGAATTTAGATGGTAATAACACAATAATGACAGTCTATTTTATAATTTCCAGTCCTGGTCCCAGAGGCAAAAAGGAAAGAAATACACATGCCACGGCATTAAAAAAAAAAAGCATGTGAAAGTAAAAGGAAGTTCATAAACTGATCACAGTTACTAATACTACAATTTCTTTGGGTGATCTATGATGGGTAGAAAATAGAACTATTTAAAGATAGGGCAAGATTGAAGACTGTCAACAAAATACAATTTCAGGCAAGCACCAATAGCAAGAGAGGCAACAGTTTAAGACAAAATTGAGAAATTTTCTTATTAAGTTCTTCGTACATGCACAGGGTGACCCATGGTAAGAAGGCAATGGAACTGATTGTCCCGGGAAATCATATTAGGACAACATTGAAGATTTTATGAACCAAAAAAGATTTGAAAAAATCATTGATGATTTTCTCAGCAAAAAATAATTTTCATTCAACCACCAAACAAAAAGATAGACAAAAATCAGGCATTATTTCCTTAATTTACTCACGCGAGCTGCTACACAGACTCATGTGCCAAATAACAAAAGACAGCCTAATATTTATTCCCTTGACAGAAATTCCAAATACTAAAATTCTACAACCGAAACAACATGGTCCCACAAGGAGCACCGTACATATAGCATATACGACAAAGATTAACCTCACCAATTTTAGAAAATGTACCTATACTTGTCAAATTCTAAGAGTACAAATGAAAAATTATTAGACGGTAAAGTTATTCCCACATTTTAGCATACACTAAACACCACCCTTTTTAAGAGAATCACTTTTGATGGAAATGTCCTTAAGCAGTGTGATCAAATTAATGACAATCTGAACAAGCTTGTCTCTTGTTATAGAAAAGTATTTTTTTACAATGGACAGAATCTTTGTTCTTTGGCCCTCTCCTCAGACATCCATGGTGATCAAAATGATTGACATCATAACCTCATTGATAATCAAACAACTCAAGCTTTCAAACAAGCTTGTCTCTTGTTATAAAAAAGTACTTTTTTTACAATGGACAGAATCTTCATGCTTTGACCCTC